GCTGGTGTCCGCAGGTCTCTCCACCCGCTGGGGAGCCCAGCAGCAGTGCCAAATGCAGGGGAGGGGAAACAGCAAATCCACCTACCCTTGCCGCAGCAGTCCCAAATGCAAGGGAGGGGAAACAGCAAATCCACCTACCCTTGCCGCTGGTCTCCAGGCTGCTCTGGTGGTCTCATCCTCCAGTTCCCCTCCGCGACTTCCTCCCATGGAGTCTCCCGGGGTCTCAGGTACCCCTCCTTCCGGCCCTCATCCGCTGTATGCTTGTCTTCTTGCTTCTTTTTTCTAATTTCTGCTAGAATCTGTCTTTTCTGCAGAGACACTCTGTCTGGCGGTGTTATTTGTCTGCCATCTTGCTCAACCCCCCTGTATTTTGGATTTTAAATATTTCCAATCATATAACGTTTCCAACTGAATTATGACCAACAGTCATTATCAATGTGTGTGTGTGTTACTTTGTGTTTAAATATGTAATTGTCTAGTTTTCATAGCTACTTTTGAATACATGACATTACATCATCAGCTCAATCCTTTTCTAAATTTTTATCATATGCTCATCTTTCCAAATTGCTCTTAGAAACAATATCATATTTAATATATTTGTGCCAAAGATGCATTTTATGTTTAGTAGTATTTGCTCAATAAAAATTGCCAATTATCCAACTCTTAGTCCAGAAGGTATGAAAATGATAAAATTCATAAGTAATTAATAATTTAAAAAATATCTATCAAATGTTACCAAAGACATATTGGTGCATATTTGAATACATACTAGACACATTTTTTCTTGATAATTTCATAAGTTTGTTTCATTTGAATAGCTTTGATACAGTAATAGATAATTACTCTATTTTAAATCTTCTATTTTCTTTTTCTAACACCTATTTATATTTTTTCACCTGTTTTTCAGTCAGGTCTTTTATTTTCCTATTTGGTGACATCCTTACATTTAAGAGTAGCAAATGATTTGTCAATTCCTTTAAGAATTTTCTCTGGGTTCTTGTTAAAACTTACTTTTTTTGCATGCAATCATTTTATGCATAAGCACTAACAACTTAGAGAAAGAACCTCCATATAATGAAATGATCATTCTAATGATTCAAAAACTATTGCCTATTTCCCTGTTTTCAATTGTTAAAGCAGTATTCCTTGCCCTGTATGAAGAGGTGATAATGTATCTCATGTAAGACAGATGATATATTTTATATAGTAATTTATAGTACTTTAGTAATATATAGTAATTTCTATTGTGACTATGATAGGCTATCCTGTGTCACTCTCTTGTTCAATTATGCCTGTATTTGATGTAGCTCATGTAGCTCCATAAAATGCTGTATGTTCTATTTCCTCCCTGTTACCCTTTCCAACAGCTTTGATTCTTATTTTTAGCCAGATCGTTTTGTCTACATTTTTATGAAACTATGTCAGGGCCTAAAATATAAAATCTTAATATTTGGGTGAAATTTCTATGAATTGGTTTGCTAAGAAGTACCACCTGATCATATATTTCTATGTACTCAGTGGCATATATTTATTATCATATATATTTATAAAAATATAAGCTTTTTGTTATAATCATATTAAAATATGAGATAAATATAATTTAGTATTTGTGATTATTAATGTGAAAATATTTCAAACTATTATAAAAATAAACATAGTATAATGTAATTGAATACTTTTTTATAGAATTATAACTTACACAATCAACTTATATGTAATACATTTACTAGATTAGTTTTTATTTTTAAAATTTTTGAAAAGTAGCAGTGGTTTTCAGTCTCAATGCAATAATGAAATAGTATATTGATTTCCATAGACTATCACTTTGCTGTGCCCATAGTTGAGGCCCTCACATTCACAAAGCATTTAATATTGTTTCAGATAATTTAAGTGAATATTTTCAGAACGTGGAGTCTACAGTGACCAAGACCTTATCTGCTTTCTTAATATATAGAAGCCAGGCTCTGTGTCACAAGAAAGAAGTAAAGATTTCAATTTCATAGCTTTGAATGAACCCTTCCTTCCAGGCTATTTCACTCAATGAATAATAAAAGTTGTATTTTAATAATTTATTCTCAAAGTCTTCCTAATATTTGGCATCCTTTCTTTCCCAAATCTATAAAATTCCAATGAAATTGACAGAAAGAAAAAAATGCTAATGAATTCATGAGAGCTATAATAGCACTTCCATATAAATGTCACTACAGCTTTTATTCACATTTATAAACAATATAATGCAAAATGGAAAAATGACTGATGGGCACCAAGAGAATATACAGACAGGAAAATATATGTGTAAGTTTCATCTCTTATTAAAAAATGGAGAAATGGAGTGAATTATGTAATTCACAACTGCATGCTACTCGACCAACTCTGCCACGCTCCACTTTCCACTTACATGGAAGAACTGAGCAAGAGAATGCTCTTGCAGCAGTAAGTACAGCTCCAGTCCATCATCTTGAAGATTTGCACAACAGGAGAAAGTAAATGGCACAGAAAAAATCATCTGAATGCTTTTTAAAATCTTATATTTTCTTCTGGAATCTGTAAAAATCATTATTTTCATATCATCACTTTTAAAATGGTGATTTTTCAGTAGACACACACAGGTTCAATGTTTTGAATAGGAGAGAAAGAGTCACTTAACATGATTCCAGAAAACTCTATTTTATTTATTAACTGTCATTGTGCTTTCTTATAAAGGAAAGTCAACACTATCATAATATTTTTTTAAATATTATCTGTTTTGATGTTTTGGTTTAAGCCATGAACACGGGAAATCAGTTTGGGGACAGATTTTATACTTCTTGGGCTTTTCCAGTATGACCAAATGAACACTTTGCTTTTTGTTGCCATCACCATCATCTTTTCAGTGGTTCTGATGGGGAATGTCATACTGATCCACCTCATTTGACTGGACGGCAGACTGCACACCCCAATGTACTGGCTTCTCAGCCAGCTCTCCACCGTCAACGTTATGTACATCTCCACCACCGTGCCCAAGATGGCAACGGACTTTCTCTAACAGAGTAAGACCATCACCCTGTTGGGCTGTGAGATTCAAGCGTATATGTTCTTGGTGCTTGGCAGGACCGAAGCCCTTCTTCTAGGTTTCATGTCATATGATCGGCATGTAGCCATCTGCCACCCTTTACATTATCCTACACTTATGAACAAGACCTGTTGCTTCATAGTTTCATGTGCGTGGACCAGTAGCTCTATCAACTCTTTATGTATTTCAGCTTCCATTCTGTAGTTCTCAGTTCATTAACTACTTTTTCTGTCAAGTTCCGTCTCTACTGCCATTGGTGTGTCAGGACACCTCCCAGTATGAGCATACTATCCTGTTGAGCAGACTTATTCTTCTGCTGATACCATTCATGGCCATCCTAGCTTGCTATGCTCATGTGCTTACTGTCATGTTCCAGATGAGCTCAGGTAAATGACAGAAAAAAGCTATTTCCACTTGCTCCTCCCGCCTGACTGTGGCAAGCCTATTCTATATGACACTCTGTCTACCTACATGAGGCCATACTCCTTGCGTCCCCCTTCACAGGATGGAGTGGCGACAGTATTTTATGCCATTATCACTCCTCTCCTGGACCCATTTATCTATAGCCTGTGGAATAAGGATGTCATGGGAGCTGTGAGGAGACTGTTGAGATAATGAACATTGATGCAGGTAGGGCGCCTTTAGCAGCCCCTTATTGACTGAGGATTAACAACTGCAAAAGCTCTTCCTGAATTCTCTATGAAATTATGTAATGATGGGTTTTTTCTATATAAGCCAGAGAAACAGTGTGCTCATCGAACTTGTTTAACTTCTAAAGCAGTAGAATTCAGCTTCATCAACTGTTTGTTCCAATGGCATTAACATTTTTATTATCTTGTTTGTGCTCTGAAATTAAATCCTTAGGAAATAAAATCCACCCAAACATTTAGCATCAAGAATATCTGTATAACAACCAAAGTTAATACAGAGAAAATTGCATCCATTCATTAGCTGCACAAATGCTTTAAACACATGTGTGATGGTGTCCTGT